CCTATTTTGTTTGGTTCAGTAACAGACCTGACATGCGCATCATGGAGTGAAAAGTGCGGCGAAAAGACATCCTGTTGGCTTTACAACAGTGAAGATTTGGCTCGGAACTATTTTTTATTAATTGTGTGTTGTAAGTTTGTCTCGAGTGTGTTCTTTCTCCTAGCGCATTTGTTTTATGTTCCGTCCAAGCCTAATGTGCTGCATGCGCTGAAAGAAAGCGGAGAACAAGAATATTGCAAAACTGAGATAAGCCAAGACGGTTCAACTACAGATAATAATGACGTTAATACGGATGTACATTGCATAATGTTAAACTCTAATTCAATGCAAACAAAACTGTGAATTATAACAGATTTTTGGTGCCGAGAGAGAGAGAGAGAGAGAGAGAGAGAGAGAGAGAGAGAGAGAGAGAGAGAGAGAGAGATTTCTCTGCAAGACAAAAAAGTCGCTCCATCCATCAATAAAACTATTTACCTCATTTCCTTCCCGTATCAAACGTCTGAAACAATTACCAGATGGGTATGTCTGTCTTACATTGATGCGTTCAGTTCCTTTATTTAGAAGCTGATTATTGATATAGTAAGAGTCAACATAATAATATAAGCTTATTGAGATCACATTTATTTAGCGGAAGATGTGAAACAGCGAGAGCCAGTTCTGTGTCTTTTGACTGTCAATATTGCATTCCTTGTTTTCATGTTGTCAAGGAAATAGCGCACATGCACAAGTAAAGCTCTTTCTGGTATTCAGGCAGCTTGTCTGGCTATTATTCATTCCGTCAAGTAATCTGCAAACTGGTCTATGACTATTAGCCATTCAGCATAGTAATCTGACAACTTGTCTATTACCCATTCAGCCTAGTAATCTGACAACTTGTCTGACTATTAGCCATTCAGCCTAATAATCTGACAACATGTCTGACTATTACCCACTCAGCCTAGTAATCTGACAACTTGTTGACTATTACCAATTCAGCCTAGTAATCTGACAACTTATCTGACTATTACCAATTCAGCCTAGTAATCTGACAACTTGTTTGACTATTAGCCATTCAGCCTAGTAATCTGACAACTTGTCTGACTATTACCCATTCAGCATAGTAATCTGAAATCTGGTCAGATTATTAGCCGATCAATAAAGTAATTAAGTAGTCTGTTCACTGACAGAAACATACGTCTCTTTTCAAACGACCTTTCCATGTTTTCATACATTGTTGCATGTTTCTCTTAGCTACACCATTTAATCTTTGCCGTGATATTCTTTGATTTCTGTTTCTTCGGTTGTGATTACATAAGTTGCCTCGGGAGTCTCCCCTCATTCATCCTCCCATTTAACTCGTAGAATTTGACGGAGGTGACGCATCATATAAGCACGATGTCTCTTTTCTGTATAAAATATATCGCCCAGATTTCTGCACCATTTAGGAGAGATGACACGATGTACTTTACATTTTACACGAGCTGACACATGAGTATTATTCAAGAGCCTATGCTATAGCTTGCCGAAAGCAGTACTGGCTTTACCCAACCTCCCTCCCTCTCTCTCTCTCTCTCTCTCTCTCTCTCTCTCTCTCTCTCTCTCTCTCTCTCTCTCTCTCTCTCCACTAGTATTATCTGAGATAGTGTTCCCAAGGTAAACAGGGTTTTTGCAATGGCTAGGCCCTCAGCATCGATGGTTATGGGGTTGGTGGAGGAAGTGTGATGTAGTATTTTACCGGTTGATACATGCATTATGTCTTATTGATGTTTATTGTCAGGCTGAATTGTGTAGCGGGTTTTGAAAACTTGTCCACTAATGTCTGAATAGCATATGCTTTGTGTGTTACAATGGTAATGTTATCCGCAAACAACATTTCGTTCTCGTACTGCCATTTGCCTGTTCCTTCTCTTTTCCTTGAAGTGTGACACATTGAACAGGTCGACATTGTGGCGTGTCTGAATGTCAATATCTTCATTTATAACCTCAAAATCCACGTCAAGCATTGCTGCTAAATAGAGCGATAGTACACATCTCTGTTTAACACCATTTCTGGCTGAAAATTCTTAAGACAGCTCACTGCTGTGGGCATCGCATGCTTGTATAACCGTTTGGAGGGCTTTGATGATAGTGACTTTTGCATGTTATGCTGAACTTCCTGAGCACTTGCCATCAATCATCCTGAGACACTGTGTCGAAGGCTTTGGCGAAATCTAGGAAGACTATTCGGTGGCATGTTCTGTTCCAAACTATTATCTTGTATATAGCGCAGACAAAAGATCATCTACATCGTTCACCTGCCACTACGGTAGCCACAGTGGCTCTCTGATAAGGCATTTAGAGAAATATATTTATTAATCCTGTTTAAAAGCACACGAGATAAAATCTTATCTGCTATTGATAGGAGGGATATACCGCTGCTGGTTCTAAATTTCTTACGGTTTTCTTCTTGAATATTGGCACAATAATAGCATCTTTCCAGTCCTGGGGTACCTTTTCTTCAGTCTATATTTGCAGAAAAAGATTATGAATCCGCGTCTGTATAAGACCACCATATTTTCCTTCTCAAGTGTTATCAATAGTTTTAGTCAGTTTCCGCATAACTGGATGTTATGAGAGTGATTCTAGTTCTGATGACCTGAATTGATTGAGAGTCAATACTGCCTTGGATATTAAGCAGTTGGTCAAAGTGCTCTGCAAATCTGTTCAATATATTGCTCTTCTCCTGCAAGATGGTTTGTTCATCACTGGAGCTTTCTGTGTCCATAAACTTCCATTAAGCCTGTATAGAATATCTTCATATCCCTCTCGTCAGCTGCTTTTTGTAATATTTTTGCTTTTGCCTCTCACCAGTCTGATTTCAACTTCCTAGTGTAATGTTAGTGTTGCCTTTTGCATTCTACATACATACCTTTCAGCACTTTTTCAAAATCAGTGTCCCTTTTGTCAAACCAGTTTTGATGTTATCGCTTTGGTTTCTCAAGAATACTTTAGGTTTTGCTAGTTCTCCTCAATCAGAGCTCCTTCAATCTCGTTCTCGAGCTTCTCGATGATAGTCACATCCTTCAAATCTAGCTGCATCATCTTTGGTGGCAGTTCTATCGTGCTGACTGAGATTTTCATTGTTGATCTTAGCATCTGGTGGTCGGTTGAACAAAATGCACCTCTCATCACTCTTGTGTTAAGCACATCTCTTTCAGGTGTTCTGTTTTGTGATCCCATAATCCAGGAGATGCTAGTGTTTTGATTGTGGGTGTTTCCTAGTAGTCTTGAGGTGTTCCTTGTGTTTGAAAACAGTACTGGTGATGACAAGGCCATTTTCCTAGCATAGATCCAGTAGACGTTCACCACTTGAGTTGCATTTTCGAATATCATGACCACCTAGGACCGCAAACCGTATATCATGATCTTTCTCAACTCAGGCATTAAAGTCTTATGTTACAATTCGTTTGTCTTTAGCTAGAACCTTGGAAAGGGGTTGGTCATTGTCGGTACATAAACACCAACGACTGTGGCGTATACTTCCCTCTCCAGTGTCAGTGTCATTGTTATTACCCTGTCACTTGTTGGTGTATGGTTCTGGTCAAGAATACCAGCAATGGAGGTCCTCATCGCAAGTCGACTCCTCTGTCTCTGCGATTTCTTTTTATACTTTCCACTCCAGAAGAATGTATAGCAACAGTCTACCATCATGTCATATCCATATAAACGAGTCTCACTCAAAGCTGAAATCTCGATGTTATATCTGCTTAGTTTCTTAGCTAATAGTGCAGTACGGCGTTTAGGTCTGTTAATATTTGTACATTCCACTCGACTAGATTCCGTTTTCTATCAATTAGTACATTGTGTAATAACAACATTTAATGCTCAATTGGTCATTTAAAACTGTTATATATGTTATCAAAATTAATTTTTTTATCAACACCTTCTTAAAATATTGGGTACTAATGCAATATGTTTGCAGAAACAAAACTTGAGTGTTCATATGAAGGGTGCCTTCTGCTTGAGTTCTATACATTTAATGTAAGTTGTGTATCCCTTTATTCATAATCTCCTTAATTTCCATGTGCATATTTGTTTAATGATTTTTCAATGAATTTTCATTCGTATTTTCTTATCTTCTTTAATTATCGTCATTCATATTTTGCATTGCTCTTTTCCTTTGTATTTCCTCTTTCTGATTTTGTCTGTTACTCGTAATACTTTCTCACTTCAGATTTTTGGCATATCTCTTTTGAACTTAGCTATAGAGTTGCTAACTACAAAAAAACCTACCTGAATGCTTGTTGGTTTAATTCTACTAAATCAAAGAACCAGGGATTAAAAAATTTACGAAACAAGATTAATTCAAATATTTTGAACTAACATGATTCACAATTTTTGTTACGACTCTATGGTCACAACCAAGTAAAAGAAAGAAGCTAAAACGAACATATATTTTTTTTGTAAATTCTTGCCAGATAATTTTATTAGGAAAGTTATGAAATAACATTTAGGAAAAGCACTCAGTTTGTATTAAATATGTCCAAAGTAGTCCAACGTTTTTATGCACAAGTCCAAAGGAATCAAGTGCTATGAAAGTATTCTGGTTTGCCTATCGATTGATGTATTACAATGGCATTACCCAGAATTCATTTGAAACAAACACAGCATCATATCTTAGCCTAATGCGCACTTTATCGTTCAAATAAATATAAACTTTTAAAAAATTCAGTCTTTTTACTACTATCAAATAAATGCCTTCTCTCAAATTTTATCTAAAAACAGCATTAAAAACACATCTGCAGACTGATATTAACACAATAATATATAAGCTTTTAAAACATCCAGTTTGATTGCTACAATCTCTGCAGTGCGGTTGTTTCTATTAATGTTTAGCAGTGGGGTATTATGGCACAGATATGCAGCATCACGTCCCAAACAGTCAAATTATCATGACATCAAGCAGACCAATCCCAAAACCAACGTCCTAATTCTGAGCGCATAGCGATGCAGTTTTCAACAATATTTTTATATATTTTGTTTGCCTCAGCCGGGATTTGAACCCTAGATCTCCTCCACATGAAGTAGACGTTCTAACCACTAGGATACCAGAGCGGTACCAAAGCAAGAATGAATTAATTCAAACACGCATACGTGTCGAAATAGAGTGATGGGTAATTTGGGGTCAATGGCAAACTCCAATAAAGGTGATAATAAGAGAACACTTATATAGGGATAATAGGAAATTTAATTTGGGTGACGTTTATAGGAACAGAATTTTTTATAGGGACAATAGGGTTTATGGAGAGATACAAAACATAAACAAAGAAATAACTAGACCACACAAAGACAAAATAAATTTGGAAGCAACAGTACATGAGTATTTCTTTCTAGGGCAAATGAATAGCTCTTAAAAGGGCCATTGGAAGTTATTAACTAAGTCAATTAGTATACGGAGCATTGTACTATTCTTCATCGTGTTCTCAAAATGTCGTCTGTCAAAAGGACCGTACATCGAGACTCTCTACAGCCTAGCTTCTATACATGGTCCTTCTCTTCCAAATCGCGTAGCTGTTGATTTTGAGTTTGCCATACTAGACGACATAATGTTTATCAGCATCTTGTCATGAGAACTGTTAAATTCCTTCGGTTATCCATTGGTATTTAAAAATAAAGGTACGATTGAAATGGATTGACTTGCTTTCCCGATCCAAACGCGCGTTACAAAATTCAATCTTAGCATCAGAACGCGGTCTCTCTTCCAAACAGAAAAGAGCTGCGGGTGACGTCAGATGCAGAAAATATGCGTGTCAGTTTCGTTATTCAGCAAGTTGATTCTCAGCGTTGTGGAACCTTAAAAGGCCATGTACTGGTGTGCACCTCGTAGGATACAAAGAGTGATGGCATGGCAGCTACCATAGTAACCACTATTATACTTCCAAATATATATGATTTTAATTGGGATTGAGCTGATTTTCTTTTTCTTTTTCCTTTTCACACGTATTTGTACCTTCACTGCCATATCATTCGTTCCCTCGCGTAAAATGATTGTAGAGAAGTACACAAGGTAGAATTAAAGAAATGTTAGCGCTCCAGAAAGAATCAGAAGAAGCGTTTATCATTCAACAGCAACATCAAAGGGATGAAAGAATTAATGGAAAGTAAGAAAAGAAGAAACATTGTGCGAAGCAGAGACGATGGTCGGTGAATGTCAACAAGTGGCATTTTTACTAGATATTGTGCAGAGTTAAGGTATTGGTGACGAATGTTTGATCCTTTTTTAACTCTACCGAAGAGAAAAAGACCTTCCAGAGCCAAACATTCAAACACAGTCATCACTATCCCTACCTCGACTACCTCTGAGAGGCTATCAGCAGAAGCTATCACCACTAAATTATCCATGGTAGCAGACGATGACTTAAGACTTGGCCGGGACAAGGTTATAAGGTCAATAAAGTTCATCGCATCCAATTCATAAGGTTGTTAAAATACTAATATCTAAATGTACCTTTCGCAGACCCACAAGATCTCTTGAAAAAAAAAAACTATTTACACTTCTCAATCGAGATGAAAAATGATATTCAAACCTTCGACATTGTATGATTTCCTTTCAATCTAACCTTCCAGTCAAATTGATTAATACCATATACGGCATCAACCACTAGTTCGTGCATTTGTGGTGGAAACCAATCTCAAAGAAATCTTTCGATGCTTGACGGTGACCAAACGTCAAATTGCTTTATAATCCACATCCCTTTTCAAACGAAATTTTTCTCTTCACAAACATAAGGCGGCTTTGTCTAAAATGGCAGATTTCAAAATTCGATACTCAAATCGAAGAAAGTATATCACGTTGACACTTAGAATCGCCGACACTCTTAGAGGTGCTGTCCTTCCTCCCCACTTAAACTTGAAGCACAAATGCATAATTTGTCCCAAAGGAAAAGCCTCCTCTCACAAAAGTCTTCCAAAGAAGAAAGGCACGACTAGGAAAAGAAAAAGAAGTGCCTGATAAAAGAAAACAAAATCCATGAAAAAACAGTTTCCACAAGAAAGAGTGGCACAACCTTACCTTCTTCCCCAAAATCACGTCTGTTGATGACTATGTCTTCAGATTCTTTAACTTCGCCATGTTCGTGATCCGGCCCTAACCCGTTTTAACTCACTGTTTTATAATTTGATGAAAATATAGAAACCGTTGTTCCAGGAGCTTCTCTCGTGGCCTCAACGTCGAGCCCATCATGAAGATCATATTAAAAAAACTAAAAACCAGCGGCGAATTCTAGTATGAAAATGGCATGTGCCAGGTAATTCACTTTATGAAAGAAAAATATATAAAAACACCTACCTTCACCCCAGAAGTTCATACAACCACTTTCCTGCCTATAAAGAAAAAAGAAAGGGACTGCCATATATTTTAGTGACCAAACATTGGGGCATGTAGTCGATACTGATTAAAGCCCATCAACACATGCAAAACAACGCATTCAAGCAAACAACTCATCGATGGTGTGTGCATGTTGTATGTCTTCAAAGATTCAAAGGAATACTACATTTTTCTATGAACCAGAAATGAAAACATCTAAGCATTCTTCGCAAAACGTCAAAAACAAATAAACCAATAGACACAAACAAGGATGTTGGTGTAACGCGAAGGAACTTTACACATGCTGAAAAGATTTTGATCATAGGAATGGTCACTCTTTGATTTGGAGGGCTTATTGGATTCGTATTTGCAAGCGTCGAAGATAAGGAGGAATAAGAGACCACAATGGCGATTTGGAATTTCATGAAATGACGAATATTGATGTCAGAGCCCTTCAAATGATAGGTGGAAATCCATCGTTGGGAAGAACAAAGGGCACCTCATTTACCTCCCATTCCTCGTGTGATTGATATGACACAGGTATAACAAAAATTACAATCGTTGATAGATTGCACCAACGTTTATGAACAGAATAACCGTAACGATACGATACGATCACATCATGCAACGTATCAGATCTTTCATCAGAAAGCTTTAAACTTGAAATATAAACCTTCTCTGAAATATTTCAAGGTCATAATGAAACGTCAATCATCGTCAAACAGAGTGAATAATACAGAGTCGGCAACACAGATACCGAAGGAAAAGACTCAGGAGAAGTCTATCAAACGTCTTTGGCTTCCATTTCTGTTAAGAATGCAACGTCCTTGTCGACCCCTTCGCCCATTACCTAAAGAAAAGAAATCGAATCTATGGATAAAAAGACGATTTCGACTATACCTTTAGAAGAAGTCATTAAGAAAGAAGGAAAAAAGATGTGAATCAAGAAAGCTATGAAAAGTGATATCTTTGCAACCACTACCACCACGCTCAGCTCCTAATCATGTGGAACTTGGGACTTGTGAAGCAATTTCCAGCTCCACGAAACCAAGCGGAGCATCAGTGAATAGTGGAGAGAGTTTTGTAGTAGACAGGATTTAAACAGGATTTACTACAATCCTGCTCATCCAGTGGGTTCTGGAGAAGCTCGAATGTTGTAGCGTGCTACTAAATCTCAACGGAAAATGAGTTCGCCTACCCCAGGTGCAACGATGATTGCAAAATCAAGCCACATGCAAGTTAAAAAAACCTGTTTGACGAAAACATTCTAGAAATTAAACCAGAGTGGATGGCATCGATGACAAACCGATTTAGCAACTGGTTCCCATTTGGAAATGTCCTATTGCAAACATATGTTTTGTGCCATCAATGTCTTTGCAAGATTCATCTGTGTCATGACTTTTAATTCCATAAACGTGCTTCGAGTTAGTTCGCGTTTTAAGACTGGTGCCGAAACAAACTGATCGTCACTTTACCGACAAACAGACAAAGACGCAGAAGTTCTCAACCAATCTCTCTGAAAAGACTTGATGAAAAGAGACACATATCAATAATCCCGAGAAAAGGGTAGCATCGGGGAACCATACAATGACCTTTCAAAAATGCAATTGGAAATATTTTACGCTTGATCACCCTCATATTTTTAGGGTCATAGTCTGTCTGCTCAAAGATAACAATCATACCGTTGGAACATCAAATCCGCGCCCGAAGAAGTGAACAGGGATAAAGAAGTAGCCGTGTTCAAGCGTTTGTTTGAGCATCACAGACTGCCCCCAAGAAGTGCGACCTGGGAACGACCGGAGATTGGATGCGAATTGGAAAAACCTAACAAAGGCTATTTACTGAGCTGGACCACAGAATTGTATAGCATTTTTGGACAACAGCATGTCCGTGATCCTCACGTTTATCATTTGGTAGATAATAACAGCGAAATAATAAAAGAACATTTCTAGTTGAATGAGTCACAAATAGTAACCCAAATGAAAACAGAAGACGACGTGAGCTATATCGAAAGCATTCTTGATCAAAGAATACCTAAAATAGTCCAACACTGAGTGGAAGAAGTAAACGTGGGTTGGAAAGTATATCGTCGATTTTCTTTTCTTGGATCTACGCTTCAAAAGTCATCAGCTATAAAAAGAAATGACCATCATGCCATTCAACACAGCACTATCAGCAGCTACTTCTTATTATCAGAATTCTTATCTTCAAGATCTACAACAGTAATCTATGTTGGTGTCGTCCCGAGAACGGTGTCTACAATGCAAAAATCTGCAAAATCTTTCTGATGTATTGAGTCATCAGAGCTGACATTGCGAATGTTTCTTGCAGGAAGGAGGTAAAATATATGTTGATAATTATACTAAGCAGCGGCATGGGTCTATTTCTATCCAGTCCTTCTCTGAAATATTCCAGTATCAATCTGAACCTTCCGACCAACAACATTCACCAATCCCGGAAAGCAGAAACAGTCATCATTTGTAAATTAATATGACCTCTGCTGATTCCTCTAGAAGCAGGGTGGGAGAAGAGACCACTTAACTGAATCGTCATTTGCCTAAAAATAAACCTTCCTACAAAAACTAAAACAAGATCAATAATGCTAAACCAAAGCCTTTAACTTAATTATTTCCATACGGTTGAGAAATGATAATAAATCTTTAGGGTTAGCCCAGTTTTTATTATCTCATCATTGACGTATTTTTTCTTCACATTTTTGTGCGATATCATTTACTTGTCTGGTCACTCA